CTCACTTCTGATTTCTCGGTCCACCCGTTCCCATAGTTCTCGGAGTGAACGGAGGTAGTCCCGATGTATTTGGGTATGGAAGGTTCCTGCGATCAACCCGTTGGTGAAGGCAGCTATGGTTACCTGATCGTTTTGATCAGGTATCTGCACATTTTCTTCATTGAACCTCTGCACATACGAACGTAATGACTCACCGGGAGCTTGCTGTAGGTTCAAGAGGTAGGCTGAAGTCTTCGTGATGGGGTGGGACGACACAAAGCGGTGAATAAACCTGTCTACCAACTCGTCCAACGAGGAAATGCTCTTCGGTTCTAGGGCCCTAAAATCATTTTCGAGCTGTCCCTTGCAAGAAAATGGGAAAAGCTCGGCAAATCACGGCGTCGGGGACGCAGTACAGGCGGAATGCTGAGATGAATGCATGGAGGTGATTCTCGGGATCACCCCGGCCATCATAGGGCTGTAGTATTGGGAGCTTGAAGTTGGGGAGAACCATTTCCCCATTGATGTCATCGGTAAAGAGCGGAGCCCTCATGTAATCAGCTGCTAACCCCCCAGGGTGCCGAGAAGTGTCCTCAACTCGTCTTCCCAGTAATCCCCTGGAAAACGCCCGGAAAATAGAGGCAATTTTGGAGGTCGCTTTGGAAGAGGCGTGCCTAGAGGTACTCTGGGAGAGATGCCCATCATCGGAGTTCTCACCGAAGGCACCTCGGGTGACTTCATTGATCTCCTTGGCCATTAGATTGGATAAACCAGAGTTTGATACAACCAGTGGAGGAAAAGGAGGTCAGAGCAGCTGTGTTCTCCATGCACCCAAACAAAGCACCTGGACCTGATGGTATGACACCTTTATTTTTTCAAAGATATTGGCATACTATTAAAAATGATGTGGTGTCTGCTATCCAAAGTTTTTTGAGTAATGGCCATCTTTTGAAGAGCATAAATGAGACCAGTATTACTCTCATTCCTAAAGTGGATAATCCTATCTCTCTGGCAAATTATAGGCCTATTAGTCTCTGTAATGTGCTCTATAGAATCATAGCAAAAATCCTGGCCAATAGAATGAAAAGAGTTATTGCCTTATGCATTAGTTACTCCCAGTCAGCCTTTGTACCTGGTAGACAGATTGTGGATAATATTATTTTGGCTCATGAAATTATGCATTTTTTGAAAAGCAAAAGGAAGGGAAATACTGCTTTTATGACCCTAAAACTTGACATGTCAAAGGCTTATGACCGTGTGGAGTGGAAATTTGTGGGCAGAATGATGCTAAAAATGGGCTTTTGTCCTACCTTTGTAAGATGGATTATGAACTGCATATCATCCGTGACTTACTCCTTCAATGTTAATGGGGAGAGAGTAGGATATGTGAAACCTAGTAGAGGCATTAGACAAGGGGACCCCTTATCCCCATATCTTTTTTTGTGCTGTTCAGAAGGTTTGTCCAATCTAATGGCCAAGGCAATTGAGAATAGGAAGATCACAGGGCTTAAAGTGAGTAGAAGTGGACCAGTTCTTTCCCATTTATTCTTTGCAGATGACTCCTTGTTTTGCTGTAAGGCGCACCCACAGGAAGCTAGTGTTATGAAAGGAATCCTTGCTAAATATGAACTAGCCTCTGGGCAGTGCATAAACTATGACAAGTCTGCAGCTTACTTTAGCAGGAATTGCAGTAGACAACAAATGAGGCAAACATGCGAACAACTGAACAATATCAAAGAGGCAAACAATGGCAAGTACCTAGGACTTCCCCTAGTGATAACAGGATCCAAGAAGGACGTTTTTGCCTATATTGTTGATAAAGCAAAATCCAAAATGCAAGGATGGAAGCACAACTTACTCAGCTATGCAGGGAAAGAGGTACTCTTAAAGTCAATTGTTATGGCACTACCTACTTACACAATGTCATGCTGCAGGTTGCCTAAAGGACTGTGTAAAGAAATATGTGGGTACATGGCAAAATTCTGGAGAGGTCAAAATGAAGGGGAAAGAAAGATGCAATGGATAAGCTGGGAAAAAATCACACAGGTGAAAGGAAATGGTGGCCTGGGTTTCAGAGACTTAGAGCATTTTAATAGTGCCCTGTTAGCAAAACAACTATGGAGGATACTAATGCAGTCAGACTCATTAGTAAGTAGAGTACTGGGGGCAAAATACAAAGTTTCACAACCAGGCTGGGAAGGGGAAGCTCCAAAGAACGCATCATGGGTATGGAGGAGTATAGCCAGCTCTAGTTCGGTTTTGCAAAAAGGAATGTGGAAAAGAGTGGGTGATGGGACCTCTATCGACATATGGAGGGATAAATGGATTATGGAATCACCAACTGGGAGGATAACAACAAGGAAACCTCCAGACTGTAGGATACAACTAGTGGCAGAGCTGATAAAGGAAAGGAAATGGAATAAGGAACTGATTGAAGGAACCTTCTCAGAGGGGGAAGCTTCTCAAATTATGCAGATACCTCTGAGTCTGTTCCCCAGACAAGACACAATCTACTGGAAATACTCAAAATCAGGGGTATATTCAGTGAAATCAGGTTATGCAGTGGAAAAGGAGGAGATAGGAAAAAGAAGCAAGGAAGTGCAGGGAGGGGAAGGAACTAGCTATGCACAGAATTCGGACAAGGTGTGGAAGAGCTTATGGGGATTGAAAATGAAACAAAAAATTAAACATTTCATATGGAGATGCTTACACAACAGCATTCCTGTGAATGAACTGATCCACAGGCGAACAGGAATAGGATCCCCTTTGTGCAAGTGCTGTGGGGAAGGGGAGGAAACAGTGGAACATATGATTTTCTTCTGCAAAATGGCGGAACCTATATGGAAGTTGGCCCCAATACAGTGGGACGGCTTATTACAATGGCGGGCAAATTTCTGGAGGTGGTGGGAAGGGTTACTACAGGCAAGGAAAAGAACAAGAGGAGAAGATCACATTACACTCACAGCGAACATCATCTGGCAATTGTGGAAAGCACGAAATGCTCGACAGTATGAAGGGAAGCATAGAGATCATCTGTCTGTAATAGAAACAGCAAACAATGAATGGCTGGAATTTCAAGAGGAGCAGATGGAACAGGAGGCAAAGCACAGAACAGGAACAAAACACCAACTGCTCAACCACCAATGGAGGCCACCAGATACAGGTATAGTGAGAATCAACACTGATGCAGCCGTTCCTTTTAAATTAGCAGGAGCGGGGCTAGGAATGGTAGCGAGGGACAGCCATGGGAACCTTGTAGAAGCTAGAGGTATCAGGAAGTATAGCAGATGTGGTGCTGAACTAGAAGAGGCAGATGCAATCCGACAGGGGCTGGTGATGGCTAAGGAAGCTGGATGGCGAGAAATAGAGGTGCAATCTGATTGCAAAGCTGTCATTGAGAGAATCCATACGAATGGTAGGGAGGAAGCCCCAATTGGTACAATAATGGAAGATATCAAACAACTATGTGGTGTGTTCCAATGCTGTACCTTTTTGTTTATTAATAGAGATGGAAATAGATGTGCTCATCAAATGGCACAATTTGCAACCAAGCTTGTTTCCAATGTGTTATGGAAGCAAAGCTTCCCCCCGTGGCTCAAAGAGAGCATACAGGAGGACAATAGGATGAATATCCACTTTTGTACTTAACAACTTGTATTATCAAGTTCACTAAATATATAAAGAGAATACCGTTTGACAAAAAAAAAAAAAAAAGCTTTCTCCTTTCCCTGCCTCTTGAAGTATCTCCCGAGCTCTTCGAAAATATTGGGGTTCTCTACCACGAATTCGACCATCTGGGCCATGGCATCTTCGTTTGTGGGTGAGACCCTAGGAGACCCCTGCTCTTTAGACGCACGGTCGTGCTGAGCAGCGGAGTTAGGATCAGGTCCAGTAGAGGGAACTCGTCTACTCCTGAATCGCGTAGGTCTCATTTTGCAGTACTCTCGTTCCCACAAACGGCGCCAAATGAAGAGGTGATTTCTGTGAGTAGTTGAACCGACCAAAATCAGTCCTCTTTCAAGTGAGGTGTGATGAAACTGCTTATACAAAGTGAGTGGCGGGGCTCTTCCCCTGAGATCACTCCAACGATCAAGTTAGTATATTGAAGAAATAAAGAGTAATGAACAGTAAAAATGTAATAGTGTACTTGTTGGGAGTGAATGAGAGGTATTTATAGGGCAGGAATGAAGGGCAGGAGGGTAGGCTCATGTTAGTGGGACCCACGTCTTGGCCATTACGGCTCTGTCCCCTGCCAGGGGGTCTGACTCTGACACTGTAGTAGTCGGGGCTTGATGACGAGGAGTCTTATGCAGTAGCCATTAAGAGCATCAGATACTTTTCAGATAAAGCACTGGTTCCGTACTGTGTCAGGTAGGGTTGACATCATCAGCGTGCAGCCGAAGTGGAAGGCATGAGGTGCAGAGGTCATCCATGTTGGAGGCCAGAGATCTGGCCGAACCCAGGGTCATGCTCAGGTCATGACCGCGTTCGAGTGACGGTCGAAGTGAGTCACCTCGGCACTGCGGGGGTGGCCGAAGTGAGCATTCTCAGCGACTATTAAGAAATAAATTAACAGAAAAAAATAGCGGAAGCGTAGCTGAATCCATATTGACAAACTTGATACTTGAATCCTTAGAGAATTTGGGGTGGCCTTCCAGATCAACACGTATTCGCCAGTCCTTGAGAGAGGCCTTTAGTTTCTCTCTGGTATCTTTCCTGACGATGGGATATCAGGGAAGAGCTATTTTGTGGTATTAGAAAATACGACAACTAGAATGATACCTGTGACCTGGGGACCATAACCCTATTTATAGGTAACATTCATGTTACCTTTTGGAACTCTATTTCAACTCATCATAGAAATGGGAGTCCATAAGTCTCTACACATTAAAGGTCCATATCCTATTAGATACATTAATCCCAAACTATATTTGATCACTTTAATTGGGTTTAACCTTAATTGATAGCTTGCAATACATAATTATTCACATATAAGTCTAATATTGGATTAAGGATCCAACATGTATGTGTTCAATTTTGAGAATGTTGACAGTAACGATAAAGTCCTTGTTCAATTTCCGCGGCCTATGGGTAGTGAAATGCTCTTTCTTAGACCATGGAGTCCTGATCTAGATCTGCTGAAAGAGGATTTTAAAGCAGTCCCTGTTTGGATCCGTCTTCCAGGATTGAAGCTGCATTACTATACGAATGAAGCTCTCAGTAAATTTGTTAGTTTTATTGGTCGCCCCCTTCACAGTGATCAGCACACAGCCCTACAAACTTCGGATTCTTTTGCTAGTGTTGAATTATCAGTTGAATCTTTGAGACCTTCTTGTATTCCTTTTGTGGATGAGAAAGGTGAATCTGTATCTCAGGTGATTGAATATGAATGGATTCCCTCTTCTTGTGAGAAGTGTAAATGCTTTGGGCATTCTTTGAACAAATGTCCTTCATTACCAAGAGTTGACAAAAGGTGGGTTCCAAAAGTGGTGCAGAATGACAATAAGGTGCAGGAAACAGAATGCAAGCTGGATAAAGGTGAATTATGCATAGTAACTAACAAAATGGAGGATAATGAAGAGGCTGCTGTTACAGTGGAAAAGGAAAATTTGGCTTCTAAGCCTATTGAGGAACAAAGTACAGAGATATCTGAACTAGCAATGGAGAAAGAGTTATTTGATGGTCTATCCAATCAGAATTCTTCGTCAACTCATAAGGATACTTTGTCAAGCACTTCAAATATCCCTATTAAAGGTATTGAGGTTGTTCTTCCTATTGAGAATATTTTCTCCCCCTTGATGAATATGGTTGTTAATAATGGGGAAGCTAGGAATTCTGGCATTGTTAAAGGTGTCAAGCAAAAAGCATGGGGTAAGAACACTGCACTTTCCTTGCATAAATGAGAATTATTTGCTGGAATATAAAGGCCTTAATAAGCCTATAAAACATATTGCTATTCAGAAGTTAGTATCTAATGCTAATGCTGATATTATGGGGATAGTAGAGAATAAAGTTAAGCTGCAGAATACTAGCAATATTGTGAATAAATGCCTTCCTGGCTGGAGTTTCATACATAATTCTACTGATTCTTGTGCTGGCCGTATGTTATTTTGTTGGAGAAACAGAAATGTAAAATGTAGCCTTCTTAATCTCATAGACAAGCTATTTCTTGCTTTGTAAATCCTGTTTGTTTGAATCTCTCTTTTGTCCTCACTATGGTTTATGGTATGAACAAACATGAGGTCAGGAAGCCTTTATGGGAATATTTGAGAAGAATAAGAAGTAATATTGATCAATGTCCTTGGTTAATTTTGGGAGATCTTAATGCTACCAGACATATTGAAGAAAGATTGGGTAGCTCAGAGTTTGATGCACTAGCCATGGATGATTTTAATCAATGCATCGAAGACATTGATGTGGCTGAATTTTCTAGCGGAGACCGCTATTATACTAGGTCTAATCATAGAGATGATGGTATAATTTTCAGTAAGATTGACAGAATTTTTGCAAATGCCTCCTGGTTTTGCTGGTTTTCTTGGAGTTGTAGTGGAGTTGCTACAACCTGATGTATCAGCTCACTCTCCTATTAGTGTCCATATTGATGATTCTATTCAATTTGGTCCAAAACCATTTCGTTTCTGGAAGCAGCATGTGGATTAGCAAAATATTATTTCTAATTGCTGGGCTGAAGAAGTTCATGGAAGCCCTGTTAGAGTGGTTTGTGAAAAGCTGAAAATAGTAAAATCAGCTTTAAAGAAGCTCAATAAACAGCATTTTAGTGATATATGTTGCAGAGTGGTGGAAAAGAAGGAGCAGCTTTCTATAATTCAGAGCTCTCTACAAAGCAATCCGCAAAATGCTGAACTAATCCAGATGAATAAAGCTGTTATAAAGGAATATGCTGATCTGATGTTGGCTGAGGAGCAGTTCTTTAAAGACAAGTCCAGAATTCAATGGTTAGATGTGGGTGATAAGAAAACTTCTTTCTTTCACAGAAAGTTAAGGGACATAATCCTGGGAAAAGGATCTTCTCACTAGTTACTGATTCTGGTGACAGAATTTCTGATTATAAGCAGGTGAAAATGATGATTGTACAATATTATAAAAACCCGTTTGGTAATTCTAGTTCTTTTACTCCTGATAAAGTATCTAGATTAGAGCATGTGATTCCTATTCATCTGAATGAAGATCAGAAATATGCTTTGCAAGCTCCTGTGACAATTGAAGAAATAAAATGTTCACTTTTCAGTGTGAAGAAGGGAAAGGCCCCAGGTCCAGATGGTTTTACCATTGAGCTCTTTATAGGTAGTTGGGATTGGGAGACAATAGGGGAGGGGGTTGTTCAGGCTCTAAAATTCTGTTTTGATGAAGAATACATGTAATTTCCTTTGAATACTACATCTATCTCTTTGGTTCCTAAGGTCAAGGGTGCATTACAAATGAAAGATTTCAGGTCTATATCCTGCTGCAATTTTCTGTACAAGTGCTACTCCACAATACTAGCTAATTGTTTGAAGAAGATCTTACCTGATTTAATTTCCAGCACCCAAAATGCTTTTAGTAAAGGGCGACAAATTGCAGACAGCATGCTTATGATGCATGAAATTGTAAGAGGCTATCATTGTCATGCGGGCAAACCAAGAGCAGCTATTAAGGTGGATTTAGTTAAAGCTTATGACTCTGTGTATTGGAACTTTTCGTTTGCTACAACGAGAATTACGGTTTCCTGAAAAATTTTTACATTGGGTAGAGAATGGAGTTCCTACAGCACAATTTTCAATTAATATTAATGGTTCCTTGACAGGTTATTTTAAAAGTGGAAAAGGAATGAGGGAGGGAGATTTCCCTCTCCCTGTTATTCCTGATTGCCATGGAGGCTTTCACTAGTTTAATGAAATGGTATACTGAATATAGAGCTTTTAATTTTCACCCTTCTTGTTTGGATTTGAAACTATCTCAAATAATATTTGCTGATGACTTGTTCCTCCTCTCAGCTGCTATTGAGCAATCTTTTTTATCTACTTAAAGATGCTCTTGTTGACTTTGAATCTTTATCAGGGTTAAAACCAAATTTGCAGAAGTGTAGTGTTTGTATTTCCTACAGTTCAGATGATATGGCCAAGAAACTCTGTGATTGTGGAAATGCCTAGAGGTACATTGTCCATGAGGTACTTGGGATTACCTTTGATCGCTGCTAAGCTCAGTTATAAAGATTGTTAGCCTATTTTTATCAAGATTTAGCAGAAGATTGGTGGATGGTCAGCCAAGAAGCTCAGCTATGGGGGCAGAGTACAATTGATTCAAGCAGTTCTTAGTGGCATCTATCTATACTGGTGTAGTGTTTTCATTCTTCCTAGAGCAGTTATTCGTAAGATCGATTGTACGTTAGCATCATTCTTTTGGGCAGGTGAACTGAAGCTTCGTTATGGGGTCAACTGTGAAGTTCCGGAAAAGGGTTTTTTCTGTTTTCTTTTTCTAAATAAGATGGTAGTAGTAGTCTAACTGCTTCCAATGTTGACACAGGCAAACTTTGCAATTTCTAAATTCCACAATCAGGCAAACTTCTGCCACAATTTCTGCACATTATATACTTATTTACATCAACAAGTGCATGCATTTCGTCTATCATTTCTACGAACAATGCTTGATAGCAGATATCAAATCAAAAAATTTGTGAGGTAAGTTGCTCAACTTTCCCAATCAACATTTAAGTTCATAATCAAGTAGCACTCTACTCTAAACTATTACACATCCAAAACCCCTTGGCGACAACATAAGCAAAATCCATAAAAAGGCCAAGTACTAGTGCAGCATTTTCAATTCCAAACTTGAATGCTTTTTATCTTGCATTGCCAACAAGTAGAATAATGATTAAAGGGCAGCAACAGCAATAGACACATGCTAATATCAACATATTCACTTTTGCTCTCAATTTCCTGATCTCTCTCTTTTTTCTTTTTCTTTTTTTTTTTTTTTTCAATTTCCTGATCTCGATCTTCAATCTTGCATTTTCTCCCTCGGCACTTCCCATGTCCCTCAACAATAAAGCCATTACATTCTTCATCTTCTAGGGTATGGGTGGATCATACCACCAATATATATATATATTAGAAGCTCCACGTTTTTGGAAAATGACCAATTCTTAGTTCAGAATTGGAAAATCTGTTCAATTAACTAATCATTATTTACACAAAAAAATTATCCCATAGTTTTTGCAGTCATGAAATCTTCTCAAAGGATTTGACTCTGTCCATAAAGCTACTACTCAACGCTCTTCATGGCAAAGGCACTGCACGGTTAGACCTCCATTGTAATGATATTAATCCTTTCCTCAATAAACTTCTGTTGCTGATTCCGAAGGATTTGAGACCACATTCTTTGAAAAGCTATCACTAGTCGGGCTTGAAGTTGCTTTACCCCAATTTCTCCTCAAGTGCCTTTCAATGGAATGATTTTGCAGATGATGTTGGGAATTTAGGCAAATCTCCTTTTTTTCATATAAACCCTAGCTCTCAAATTGGAAAAAATATGCAAGTTTTGGTATTTCCTGATGTTTTTCCCTTGTAGAAAACACATTTTACTTCATTTTGTTGTAGCCCCTTAAGTAACTTTTCAAATATGCCCCTGTATAGTTGGTCCTAAATTGCGTCAGATGGGTTGCAGGTGGTGGTGCCGCCACAGAGGACCTTAACTGGTCTCGCATATCAAGTTCAGGTATTAAATAGGTCAAAATTAAAAGTCAGGCACCAAATCGACACAAATGAATAAATGTTAAGGGACGAGATTAGCCATTTTTCCTAAAAATACTAAGCAACGGAATAGATGCTTAATATTGAAGCTTATCTAGAATATATGTAAGAAGAAAGACTTTTTGTGGGTGATCTGGATTCATTCAGTTATGCTCAAGAATTGTAGTTTTTGAGAGGTAAATATTCCTTCTGGTTGTTCTTGGTATAGCGAAAAGTACAATAAACTCCCAAGAATATGATATGGATCTTGAGCTATATAGCTATATACAGCTAATTTGAGGGATGATAAGTGCAATAAACTCCCTAGCTTTCAATACACGGAAGCTTGGTGGCTAGCTTTTCTTGAATAACAGGTGGTCAACCATTACTAATCTTCTGTATTATAGAATATATGTAAGAAGAAAGACTTTTTGTGGGTGATCTGGATTCATTCAGTTATGCTCAAGAATTGTAGTTTTTGAGAGGTAAATATTCCTTCTGGTTGTTCTTGGTATAGCGAAAAGTACAATAAACTCCCAAGAATATGATATGGATCTTGAGCTATATAGCTATATACAGCTAATTTGAGGGATGATAAGTGCAATAAACTCCCTAGCTTTCAATACACGGAAGCTTGGTGGCTAGCTTTTCTTGAATAACAGGTGGTCAACCATTACTAATCTTCTGTATTATTGAATTGCTCGTTACTTCTTACATTTTCTTATGAAAGTAAGAATTTCGGCAAATAAATCTGACCCTCCGAAATTACCTTGCTCATTACTCAACTTGCTCTTTTTCGGGCTTCTCACGTAGACTAGGCTTTCTACTTCATGTGCTTCAAGAAAAGGAAATGAACAAAAATAGATGCAGGACAAGCAGTTCTTGATTCTTGAAATCTTCTAGTTCTTGATTCTGATTAAAGATTTGAATATGTCGAAAATTGTGATTGAAAATGTTGAAATTATAAGTTATATACGTATAACCAATATGACTATAGCAATAAATGTGTACATTATGGTAGCTATGTAAAGAAGTATATGCTATTTATACATAATACTAATAGTTATGAAAGTACAAACAAATTTAGTAAACAATTGATGAAAGCCGCCTTCTTGTTAGTCCGCGCATGCATTTGTGATATTTTTAGCAAGAGCAAGAAAATCACAATGATATAT